TGGTAGAGGCTCAGCATTAGGCTCTAACCTTGGCTCCACCCTGGGCTCAAAGAAAAACAAGATCACCACTACCAGTGTTCCTCTCTTCAGCCTCTTCCAGGACCAAGTTAACCTGGATAAACTGGATGCCATGGACAAGGAGATCAAGTCAGAGATGAGGGACAAGATGTCTACCTATGAAAAGAAGAAGATCCTGGAAGACAACAAACGCAGTACTCTGTTTAAGAAAAAGAAGCCAAAGGAGGATGAAGATGAGGAGGAGGAAAGGAAGAAGAAAGAGGAGGAGTTTCTTGAGGAGACAAAGAAAAAGGAGAAACCAAAGAGGAGTTATGGTCTATCGGGGTGCCTGAATCTTAACCCAGCGCTGGAGAAAGATAAAAACACCAACATTGATGACTGGCTGAAAAGTGTCAGGCCTCCCCCGAGAAAACCAGCTTCAGGAACTGAAGCTGGTCCATCAGAGGACCCCTATGATGATCTTGATGCCTCAGCTTCTGAATTTGACTTCTCAAGCAGAAGAGCCTCTTATGCTGCTGACGAAGATGATGATGAGGAAACGTATGGCATTACTTCCAGATACCGAGCCAGGTTACACGAAGATCTATCAAGTGAAGACACAGAATATTCCTGCAATGGCTTCACACAATCCCACAGCTACAGCCAACCGGGAAGACCGTACAGCGCTGTTCATCATTCACGATACGAAAGCAATGAGACAGAAGGGAGAAGGACTAGGAGACAGGAAGCCACAGAAGAGGAGGAGGATGACATCTCCACCTTCATTGCCCAAACCAGGCAGAGGATTAGGGCTCGAGCTGCCGCGGAGGCTGAAGACGACGAGGTTCTCGCTGCTTGGAGAGCTCAGCAGGAGGCAAAGCGAGAGAAGCAAAACTTAGAAAATACTACTGATGCAGACAGGTTTTAGAAAATGTAAAAGAGCCAATTCTGTGCTGCTGCTGCTGCTGCTGCTAGCTCACACAAAGCTCTTTTTGTTTGGTCGAGGAGTGAAAAAAAAGGATGTACAAATTGCAATAATTCTAATGCACAAAAAACACTAGCATCCACATCCATAGAAAAATATGCACCTTGACCTTTTCATATTACATCAGCACTACAAAGAAATTAAGGATTTGAGCCTGTTTTACTATTAAAATGGAAGAAATACACAATACAGTTCTCAGTTAAGGTTTTGCTTGTACCACAATTGAATGTAAAACACAATGAATGCAAATTTTCATAGAAAAGATGATGTGAAACTTCTAAAAAAAAAAAAAAAAATAGGAAAAGTCCCTCCAATTTGTACTCTTGCACAATTTTACTATTGTAATAAATTTTCTGATGAATGATGACTTGGGCTTTTTATTTGGTTTAATGGCTCCTAATAAAGCTGCATCATAAAGGTTGTTTTCATCTTTTGTGATGAAAAAAAAATTGAAAACCTCCATAACTTACAACAAAAAAACAAAAAATTAAATGGTAAAAATAAACAGAAACACAAACAAGTTGTATTTATAAAATATTTGTGCAGGTGACAAAGCAATCACTATTACTAGAATGTTTTTTGGAATGAATATAATTGTCACTTGCAGGAAGTGGGACTGATGGCTTTTTATGTAGACAAAAATATGTTTTTTTTACTTACTAATTTGATGTTTTGATGTTAATAACTTGTTTTGTTGCTTAACAAAAGCCACAATATGCTTCACAAAAACAGCGGCTCATTTCAAAAACTTAAGCAAGGTTTAAAGTGTGAAAAAGGACATAGTGAGGGGGGAATGAAGAGCTAAAACTAGTCATTCACCCACTAAGGTTTAGACAGTTATGCATGTAACACACACACACCATGCAAACAGTTAAAATACAGGAAGGGGATTGGAGATGGGTGTAACACTGTTTCATATTTGTAAACACACAGCATGTGGTCATGAGCATGGCATTTCTCGTGTTATACTGCCACATCTTGGACACTAAATGCAATTGCTTTTGAGATTTATACAATTTTTAAATTATGCAAAATGTGAAGATAACATCATTTACAAAATACCATAATATTTCTTTAACTGTAGTGGTATAGATGTGGTTTCAGTGAGATAACAACTATGTGCTGTGTAGTGGATGGGAAATATGGAAATAATTCCACTACATGTGAAACTGTAACATACTTTAAAGCTTATAATGCTTTACATAGCACAGTGGGATAAACCGCAGCAGGAGTGCTGATCTTCAAGCTCTTATATGTACATTTAAAGTCAGATAAAAGGCTCAGCCAAGGAGTCTGTACTGCTGTATAATTACAGGATTTTGGTTTTATGCTCTGGTTTTAGAACCTTTGCTTTTACTGCACATTTCAAAATTATTTATTATCATAATGTTATAGAACACACCTGGGATCATTTTTATACCCTGGCATGTTTAATAATTTGTGGAGTTTTTCTACTTTATTTTTATATAAATTTTAAACATGAAAACATGGTGAGCAGTTTGCATGAAGATAGCATAAGTTCGAAAACTAAAAATGTATTATTTAGAGGGGAAACTATTAAAAGGAAATCAATGCAAGCTGTTACACTTTTAGAACATTTTGTTCTTTTTAACTCATGTACTTGACTGTTTACTCTCTCACTGGAGCATTTTTCAAAACGCTCCTGTTATCTGCTGGTTACACATGCTCTTAGAGAGGACCAATTGTGCTTTTCATCATTTTCTGTCTCATATATCCTGTTCAAGTAGTGCATTTTCAATATAAGTATGACCTAGTTGTCAAACATAAGTACAGGTAATCCTGTAGCCAAAAGCTTCAGACTACTGTCAACACTCGGTTTCTAATAGTTTTTCTTACTCTTGACTCTGTTTTATCTCAATTAGAGGTCATGTCTTTTCATGGTGATGCCAGGTACAGGCAATCAGCCAATGAGAATGAAGTTGTTTTAAAGACAGAGAAACAAAAGAGCATGAGGGGATGGACTGAGAGGGAGTCTAATATCCACAGACAATTAAGACCACCTCCTTTCAGAACTGTCTTAATTCTTTGTGGCATACGTTTTAGTCCATGTTGAGATGACAGCATCACACACTTGCTGCAGATTTGTCTGCAGTTTCATCACATCACAAAAGAGCTCTACTGGGTTGTAATCTGGTGATTTGGGGTCTATCTCTGTACAGTAAACTCACTGTCATGTTCAAGAAACCAGTTTTAGATGATTTGAACTTTGGTGAGTTATCCTGCTGGAAGCAGCCATCAGAAGATAGATACACTGTGATCATAATGGCATGGACAGGGTCATCAACAACACTCAGGTTGGCTGTGCTTAAGAAGTGATGCTGAACCACTGACATAAAGCAAGATAGATCCACGCTTCCAAGTTCTGACCCTACCATCCAGACTTATCAGACCAGGCAACTTTCTTCCACTCTTCTACTGTCCAATTTTGGTGAGATATGTGAAATGTAGGTTCAGTTTCCAGTCCTTAGCTGACAAGAGCGACATGCAGTGTGGTTCAGTGTTCAGGAGACAGACCGTGCGGTGGTGTGTGTGGTGGACCCAGGTGCGAACACAAGAGAGTAGACCGGAGTAAACTTAAACTGAAAGCGAGCCTTTATTATGGCTGATGACAGGTCTCAACACAAAGCAGAAACACTGTGACTAAACCAAACTTAACTAAACTGGGAAACAGATACTGATAAACTAAGAAGACTCAGAGGACCATGATGATGACTGTAAAGACTGGCCATGAGGACATGGAGTGTGGGAACACAGACGACGCGACCCAGACTGCATGAAACACAGAGACTAAATACACATGAGGGATGATCAGGGGAAGTGGCCACACATGGGAGCACAGCTGACACACATGAACCTAAAGACAGGACAGGTGAAACTAAATACACTGACATAGAATACAGACTTTCAAAATAAAACAGGAAACATGGAGATTAGACATGACATGAACTAAACATAACCACGCAGACATGACGCATGACAGGTAGACGCATGAACCAGGGAGACTGAGTACAGGGAGATGACATAAACAACTAAGAAACAAAGGGCTAAACAGCACCCTAGAAATTAACTAGACGAACTAAGCTAAAGCATAAATGAATAAAAAAGATACATAAAACTCAACACTGGGTCACACGACCCAGGACCATGACACCATTCAGATGCTCTTGACACACTTTTGTTGTAACAAGCGGTTAGTTGAGTTACTGTTGTCAGCTCAAAGCAGTCATTTTCCTTTGACTTCAACGAGGCATTTTCTTCCTGAGAACTACCGCTCACTGGTTATTTTCTGTTTTTCAGATCATTCTCTGTAAACTTTAGAGATGGTTGTGTGGGAAAATCCTAGCAGATCAGCTGTATCTGAAATATTTAGACTAACAACCATGCCAAGCCACTTAAATCAACGCTCTTCTCTGTTCTGATGCTCTGTCTAAACTTCAGCCGGTCATTGTGACCATGTATACGTGAGTGGCAGCCTTGTGATTGGCTGATTTGATATTGGTTTTAGTGAGTAGTTAAATAGGTGAAGTAAAACTAAATAAGTATCATTTAGACCTATGAGTCATGCAAGGCTACTTTAGTAGAATTCAAGAAAGAAAATATGAAATTAGAAATAAGCATCAAAGATTCATTGTGGCAAAGAGAACACACAGGGCAGTATTTTACTGATCAAACTTTATGCTTGAATAGAAATTTGCATTCAGGACTTTTCTCTTTAGTTTCTTTACTTCAGTCTGGATTCTTTGGTAGGAGTCTGTGCCACAGTTAAAGAGAAGTGAAACCTTGTGGAGGACTCAGTGAACTGGAGCGCAAGCTCATACCTGAGCGATTAAAGTATTACAAACCCACGTCCACTCACACACATGAAGCATGAGGCTGAAAATGTGGCCGCCAGGTCACCAGACTGTGAATTGAGAAACGACACGTGCTGCTAGAAAGCATTAACAAAATCCAAAAAGATGAAGGATGTGTAGAAAAAGAAAGGAAAACAGAAAAAGAGATGGAAGGAGAGGCTGGGTGTGAAGGTGAGGAAGAGGAGAAGGGAGACCACATGGAGAAAGAAGATAAGAGGGAGGACAATATAGAAATGGACCAAGAGGAGATGGAGGGAAGAGCAGCGGAAGGAGAAGCAGAGATGGAGGAAGAAATGACTGAGAGAGAAGAGGAATTAAAGACACAGGGAGAGAACGAGAGAGAAGAAAGGAGGTTTAAGTGTGAGAGGATGAAATGAAACATTCTACAGCAGAGGTAGAGAAAGAAATACACGATGAAAATGAGGAAGGAGAAATAGAAGAAGACAGAAAGAAAGAAAACCATGAAGTCGAACAGTGTGATGGAGAAAAAGAGGGAAATAAAGGGAGGAAGAAGGATGGAAGCAACAAAAGAGGGGTGGAGATAAATAATGATGAGTAAGAAGAGTGGTTTAAGTATCAGAAGGAGGAAGATGAGAAAGAAGTAGGAAAAGTATGTGAGGATGAAAGTCAGGGTGAGATGAAACAAGCTGTAACAGAGGAAAGTGGAGATGAAAGAGCAGGAAGAGGAATGGAAGAAGAAGATGTAGATGAAAAGAGAATAGAGCAAGACAGACAGATAACAGGAGGAAATGTAGAAGGAGTCAAAGTGGAGAAGCTGAGAGAGCATCACGCTGAAAATGAAAAGGAGGTAAACAAAGAAAAGGAAGAACAAGTTAATGTAAAAGAAGAAGAAACAGAAGAATGGGTTGAGGAGCCAGGAAAGAGGCCTGATCAGTCTGATCCCCCAAAGCTGTCCCTCTGTCACCTCTGCAGGACCCACAATCTGCTGAAACTCTGCATCACGGCACAGAAAACAAAGCTCCCAGAGTCCTCACAGACGGAGAGAAAGGGGCTGTCGCTGCCAAAACCCACAGCAGGGACATTTATCCCACATCGCCGAGCAGTGACAAGGAGGCTTTTCTGAGCAGCACAGACGCTTCACACCAAACTGCTGCTGCACACAGTGTGACAGACACAAACGTTCCCTGTGCTGACGCTCATCTGAATCTAAGTGAACAAACAGAGACGTCGCAGCGCAGTTTACAGGAGCAAGAGCGGCATCCAGGTGAAAGAGCTGGAGTAGAAGAAGCAGACAACTCCGGAAATACTCCACCTGTATTGCACACAGGTAACCACAGAATTCCCTAGAAAGATTTCAGTCCTGGCTGGTTTGGTGACACCTGTGGTCACAGGTAGGAGCTGCACACATTAAATCAGACACTTATCAGGTAGAATAGGCTTGGGTTTAGATGCACTTCTGTTTTGGGTTTTTTTTAAATGGGGTACCACACAGGAGAGCAAGAAAAAGGCAGATCCACGGTATATCAAATTTACGAGGAAACATGTTAAAATTTGACTGAAGAATAGCTGAAGTGAAAGAAGTGAACTTTTTATTTATGTAAAACTACAAACATTTTAGCATCGAAATATGCTCAAAATGACTGTAGAAAAGATCATTATTGAGTAAAATCATTTACATGGTATTATTATACATAGACATAGTATTTTTGGTCATATTATTATTTATTTTATTCCTTCTAATTACAGTATGTTGCTGGGTACCTTTTTCTAAGAAATCTACAGAATAACAATAAACTCATTCTTAAGAATATTTTGGCTTTTATTGGCTAAAAAGTTAAGTACGTGCTTGCAAAATATGGCGGAGTGGAAGGAAAAATTTATTGTTATAGTCTTTAGATCAGCATTAAGACTTCCTAACAAAGACAAGGTCTGCAAATAGGCTAATACAGCAGTGCTTATACATACTGTTTCTGTGAGATAAGGTAAATTTTCATTTAAAATAAGAAACAAGAAGATATGGGTGAGGTTTATTTTTGTGTTGTCATACGTCGTTAATAAAACGGTTTTATAGACCCAAAATTCAGATTGCTGTGTAAAAACATTGATATATTTGTTCTGTAAACGTTCCAAAGTGAAGTTACTGTTTTCAAATGTTCAGATCTACATTGGATATTATATAACTGCAGCTATGATTGGCTGGAACACAGTTACTGAAAGTGAAGATTTGAGCCAGAAAGTTCATTCATTAAAATTCCACAAAGATGACACTGACTCAACTAAGATAAATATTAGTGGACAAAAACCTCCATGGAGCAAAAGAAAGTAATTTTAAGTCATTTCCTAGAAGTATTTAAATTATTCAAAAACATGTGCATTTTCAGACCTACAGACATCGCTTTGCAGACCAGAGGACAAAGTGACACTGATGGAAGCTCCTGCTCAGTCCTCGATGGAAGATGAACAAGAGAGCAAAATCTCCTCTGGCACAGTAAAACATTCAATGAAAACCGTAAGGTCTCCTGTGATGAATGGTGAGGCTGATGCTGCAGATGACAAGAAGAAAGATGGCCAACAATCATCGAAGTACAAAACAGTGTCCTACAGAAAGATCCCCAGAGGAAACACCAGGCAGAGGATTGATGAGTTTGAGTCCATGTTTAACTCGTGAAAGAGCATTAAACATAATATATAGTAACATACTGATATATAATATATGTAGAGGATTTGCTGAAATTAACCAAGTCGTTTTTTTCTGATTCAGCTCTTGCAAATTATGACCCCTACTGGTAATGTTTTGAGAAAACCAGAAGACCCAGAGCAGAGCTTTTCTAAAATATGTACATGATTTTATATGACTGTATTTGTACCTGTGGCTTGTTTGGGATGCTCAGGTGGCAGTTTTTGTTTTGTTTTTTCCATCTTCATAGGCAGTCCATCCCCTCCCCAATTCCCTAACCTGACTTCGTTAACCCTATCCCAGAAACCCAGCTCAATAAAACTCAGATCTTTAGTTGGCATCTGAGCAAATAAAACCTTAAGGGAAGTTCTGTCTAATTGCTGCCATTGCTCCACTTGACAGTTAAGGATCCCAAAAATGAAAGACTGCTTTTGATCCTTTGTTGGTCCCATACTTAAAACAAATGAAATTTCCCACTGAATTGAATTCACCCAGTTTTGTTTTGTTTTTTAGAAATACAGTGTGTCATGCAAACTCCTGAAGTTTCATTCATTTAATATTTTAACATTGTAGAGGATTCTAGATTCTTCTCAAGGAACAATTATCAAGTTAAAGGAATATGTTTTTCTCTTTTTCTTTTTCAATTGTGTAGTGTTATCCTGAATAGGTGGCAGAATTTTGAGTATTAAAAAAGAAAGGTTGAAGATATAAAGATAAATGTGTGCAACACAGCTATATAGATGATTTCTTTCTTAGCCAGTCTTTGACTGACATGTAACCCCTCAATGATGTTTACTCAGGCCATGATCTCTCCTGAGAAATGTTGCCCGAGTGACTGACTAGAGAACAGCAACCTATAAAATACATCTTATTCACCTCATTATTTTTTCTAGTTTAACAACACAAACATTTTTACTGTTGAAATGTCAAAGCATTCAGAGCTTGTACATACAGAAAAATAATAGCTGAGAGAATAAAAGGATGTGATTTTTTTTTTACGTTAGTTAAACCTACCTGACACTTAGAACTGTATATGCATAGGGTCTTTAAAAAAACCTCTCTTATTGACAAACTGTTTTAATGTAAATTTCATGGTATGTTTATCACAATTGTATGATATCTATTAGTTAATTTAATGTATTCAAGAAAAAGCATCATGCAAAATATATGTTCTTGCATTTTGTAATTTGTGTTGGCATCAACTACCTTTACTTAAAACAACATATATGTCTGCAGTGGTACAAACAACAGAGGATTATCTGTTTTTGAGGTTTTTGTTGAATATTTTGACAATAAAGTGAACCTATTGCTGAATCTTTGTGGTATTTCTGTGCCTTTTGTGTTCCTTTTCACAACTTCACATTTTTTAAACTTTATTTCTTTTTACAAATCCACAATATTAAACACTTGTTAGTCATCTCTAGGAAATCAAATGATTTTTATTGCCTTCTAAACATGAAGGAAGACAGATTTATATACAATACAGCATTCTTTGCATAATAATAATAATTATTATTGTTGTTATTATTGCTCTTGTTATTATATAAACATACATGAGTTGTCCAAATTTTGTTTTTGTGAGGAAAAAATTGCAAGATTACCTAAAATTTGAGGGAGCTTGTTTCTCACATTGAAAAACAAAAACAAAAAACACTAACAAACAAAAGAAAACATTATTGTTATTATTTAGCTACAGATATATACATATGTAAAGAATTATTTTTTCCACCACACCTAAGTTAAAATTCAGGATTTGTATGTTGAAATACAGAGATTTTACTTTTTTATGGTGGCAGAGACAAACTTCCATTGATAATATGTAGAGGTCATTTGAGGTTGGTAAACACAGTAAGGACTACTATTCCCACAATCCCCTGCGTCCTTCGGTGACGTCACATAGAGCCCGGACCCGGCGTAGTGGCGCTGTGTGTGTTTGGCAACAACAAAAAGAGTGTTTTGAGAATAGTTTTAACTGCATTTTCACCCGCGGTATTTTAAGGGACATTATCACAGGTAAGTTATTCGGTGGAGTGTCTTCGACTTCATTAAGTTTTATTTTTAGTGTGAGCTAAAAGCGAGAGTTAGATTACAGTGTTGATTTTAGCCGGTTGGCTCGCTGGCTAGCAAGATGGCTCCGGCTACTTACTGCGAAACAATAACAAAGAATTAGCCATGGTGATGAATTTAAATGGATTGGTGTGTTTTTAAAGTTTATTGTGAACTGAATATAGCTGCAAAGTGTAATGTAATAATTTAGGGAAGGTGTGGGTCTTTTTAATTGGTGCTGTTGCCGGTGTACGCCTTCCGCTTCAGGCGTTAGATGGTGGCGATGACTCCGCCGCTGCTGCTGTCCGTTGGAGGAAGAGGAAGAGGAAGGAGGTGATGATGATGATGACATGCAGTTAGCTAGCTGGCTGCCTCTCTTGCTGGACAGACGGACTTGAGCCCGCAGAGTGTCGGAGGTGTCACCGCGAAAACAGCACAGGATCCGTGCTGAAGAGAGGCGAAGATGCCGCGGAGAAAACAGTCCAACCCGCAGCCGGTGAAACGTAAGTCCAGCTGTTTACTTCCAGCTCTTTGCTGCCTTTCTCTCCGCATGAATCTTAAATCACTGCCATAGAATAAGGCAATGAGTCTTTGCTAGGTATTGGTCCACTTTAAATGCATTTTTATAAAATTAGACATATTTCTGAGGGATACAGTCATGTTAAAAGTTGCCTGACTGGTCATCAAGTCCTTTCCTCTTTATCTCCCTGAGAGGAAGACTGCTGAAGACATGTTGTCCTTTAAGCAGATGTGTTTATCTGTTATCTCATCCTGACTGTTCTGGCTCACTTGGATTCTCCACCTCCTCTCTGCTTCCTATCTCCACTTCCTCTTCGCAGGCTCCCTACCTAACCTCCCCCTGCTCCCTCCCTTCGTTCTTCCTCTCTTTCTTTCACAGCTTCCTGTATGATTTCTGTCATTCCCCTTGGTTTCCTGTGTACCCTCACCTTTATTATTAACAGGGGCCAGAAGACGTTTTTAGGTTCTAGTTGTGTCTCCAGTTTCTTTTGTTTTACTCTCCTCCCACACGTCACCTGTAGAACGTTCACCTCCCTTCGTTTACATTTTCTTGACTGCGTGGGCATCAGTCAGCTTACAAAAAGAGAATACTGGATTTAGGAGACCTGAAGTCACCTGTTGACCTTCTCAGATTTCTAATGATGTACATATTTAAACAGGCACTAGATGGGAGTGTACTTTTGAGCATGTGAGCAGGGGCTCAGAGGGAAAAAAGGCCAGTACATCCTTGTATTCAAATTACTCGTATTCAAAGTCTAACTGCAGCTCAAGTAGCTTCTGGGCGTCTGACACAATCACAGCAGTGTTATCTGAAAGAATGATCGCACAGTTGAACCAAAGCTTCTGTAAAACTGAACGATAAAAGGAGGATTGATGTGTTTTAGTTCAGGTCTGTCTACGTTTGAACACGTTAGCAGTTCATTTGAACAAAGATTGACCGAACAGCTTTGGTTCTACAGTGGAGGAATGACATTTTTTGCTGTTATAACCGAAACCAACATTTTAATGAAGGAAAACCTAAAATATCTCGGATTTGTAAGACACTGGGTCTTAACTCACATTACCTGCCTGCAGACTTGTTGAAAAACTAAAAGACTTTAAACAGGACTCTTAGCAGTAGCTTGCAGAACCAGCTTTATCAACTACAACTTCAAATAATCATTTTCTGTGTGATTTTATCCGTCTGTAACACTCTTCTTTACAGCGTTGCTCCAGTTCATTGA